CTGTGTAATCTCTCCCGCATGCACGCAGAACCGATGCAACAGACTGCCGCTATACAAGTCCCACAGGCAGACAGCGAAATCAATGCCACCCGAGAGCAGATGGGACTTCTCATAGCGTGGATGTACCATCGAGGGGCACAGCAGGCAATTGACACGTCCGCGATGCCCGTAGAGTATCTGATGCGATGGCCAATCACTGAAATTCTGCTTGATGCCGACGAGCAGTTGCATCATTACCGTCTGTGTGGCCGGCACAATGACAATGCTACCATCCTCGCGGCCAATGACCAAGCGACTCTGTTGCGGCAGATAAATGCTCGATGTGAGCTTCACCGGTGAGTCGGTGATACGCGAAAGCTGATCGAGTATGCCCACAGGCGGCGGATCCATCATCGACCAGGCCTCCACCAGTGAAGTGCAGACATGCGGCTTCTGTATGCGCGGCGGCATTTGCTTTGCCTGCAATATACTAATATTATCCAATGGCACCTCCGGCACATTCCACACCGAGATGTAGCCCTCAGAATCGCCGCGCAGCAAAAAGTGTGACTGTTGACCCATTAGGAGTTTCATCGCTGGCGGACAGGAGAGCACCTTATCTCCGGCATGCTGCAGCACATAGTACAGATAGGGTGCGTCGCGTACGACGCTCTTTGAATGAAACTCCTTATTGTCTGGTATGCAATTGGCTGGCAATTTATACAAGTACCCTTTGCCCTCGTCCGTCCACAGCATAACGCGATCTGAGGTTATGAAATCGCCGCCCTGCCAACGTTCGCGTGCAGGCGCAATAACGGAGCAGAGTACTGTAAAATCGCCAGCATCATAGATCTGCCAATATTTGGTGCAGACGAGGAGCACCGTGCGCTGATTCTGGGCACAACAATTCATGGTGATGGCGTTCAAGCATCGTATCTCCTTCGACTCATTCTCATAGATGGGCTCCGCATGCTTGTTCTCGTTGCCCGTCAGAGTCCAGACCTTGACGGTGCCGGTGGTCGTGATGGCCAGCACGACATCGTCTTTGCGACGCATTGGACGTAGCACGTGTATGGCTGAAATCCAGTCCGGCTTCACCTTTGAGCTGAGCACGTAAATAACTTCGAGACTGAATGGATCCATGACCATGATTTCAGCATAGTAGCCAATGCAAAAGAGACGCACGTCTTCGCTGTTGGCCGTGTGATAGCTTTGGATTTGTGTGTGCACCTGTGGCAGCTTGACAGCCTCAGTGCATTTGCCGTCGATCAAATCCCAGGTGCACATCTCACCATTCTCCGACGAGCTGACCAGAAAATTATTATCCGGCAGCAATGAGGCGCGCACCAGGCACAGCACCGGCGCCGAGTGGCCAACGAGCAGGCAACGCGGTGACATCTTCAATGTGGCTGGCTCCACTTGCCAGAGACAGATCTGTCCGTCGTAGCAACCGGTGACCAGTGTGCATTGATCATCCGATAGAAAGACGCTCGATATGCAATGTGTCGGCGCTGTGGGACCCCACAGCACCACTGGCACCACCAGATTCGTACTGACCATGCTTATTTATGGTATGGAGACCTGCAACCACTAACCACGACACCAATACCAGCGCCGACTCCTCCTCCTCCTCCACTGATGTGGCCTATGTTCGCTCTATGATGCGTCTGTCCACCTCCCTGGATGTGCGTGCGTTATTTATTGAATATTTTCGCAAATATCAATTTCGATTTATGGCAGCCGCTTCTCCAGTTGTCGTTCTCTGTAAAAATTTATTAGTAAACATTGGCCTACCACGTTTCATGGCGAGGCTACACCTGAAACTGCACTCGTGCGTGTGTGTAAACATACAGTGAACATTCTTGACGGCTCACCAAATCAATAATTATCAGCCTTGCTCAAAAGCGATTTACATTCTCACTTTCTGAATGTAATTTGACACCAAAAAGGTTGTTTATTGCAGCTTTGCACTTGATACAACACATTACTCGTATTATTTCAGCTTTGACTCTATTGCATATCGTTTTCTTTGTTTTTCTCGTATGGAACTTAATCGCAATACAAATTTATCTAAGGCGAAAAGAATCTGATATCTAACGCACCTACGGAAATAGAATGTTAGCTGATAATGCGGCAGCTGATAACAATGTAAGTTGTTGCGGTTAACGCTAATCTCGAGAACGGCTCAATACAATTAAATTGTTTTGTGTTAATACAAACAACAACAAATTATAATAATAATAATAATAATATAACAAACAGTTCCCGAGATAAGTTAATGCACACATTGGAGGTGACAGAAATTTAAGCGAACAGTAAAGTTTACAAGGAGTGAAAGAACATAGTGAATAGAGTTTGGGTATTACATAAGTTTGTAATACAATATAGTTAGTCGTGCTGCCAGCGGAAATGCAAAATTAACAGTATTTGGCAAGTGAGTCATGTTGCCGCCTTCTAAGTCGAAATTGGATTATATATGTATATTTTTCACACTCCAACAGTCCATTAACAAAAACCGCATTTGAATTAAGCTATTTGTTAGTTGTTAACTGACAAAAGCAACTGTCGAAAAAGTGAAATCATTTAGCTGTGTAGCTCATGATTTAGTTTTATATATATATAATATATTTTTTTATTTTATTTTTTTTTATTTTTAGCTAAGGTGCACTATTTAGATAGATTACTGCAGTGACTTAAGAGAGATTGCAAAGTCAGCGTATTGAATATCAAAAGATAAACAGAGCATACACACACACACACTCAATAGACAAACAGAATTTTGTTATACAATTGAGGCGCGCTGGAGACAACCTTGAGGGGTAAAAAAAAGCCCCCACCGAACACCCCCTTAGACAAACAATATGGGACCAGGATGAGACAAAATGTAAAAGGAAAACGAACAAATAAACTACGCTTCGAGTTGATTTCTAGACAATAAAGACACTATATATATGTACATATATACCTATAGTTATATTTATATGCACGATATCTGTCTGCTATAAGACAATAAAGTAAGTATGGCAAGTGTGCCAATAACGCTGCCGGACGAACGGATGGAGCAGCGAGTGGACAATGTGACATGTGTGTAAATATGTACACACACACACACACACACACACATAAACATACATACGTCTGTCTGTAAGTACGTCAGCAGGCTCTGCTCTGTGGGCAATTAGCTGCAATAACCAAAACAATATGGAACAGAGCGCTCATCGAATTCTCTAATATGCTAAATTAATTGAATGACGACGCGTGCTTATGCATTTTGAGCTTGACGAACAAAATATATGTTAAAAAGCTACCCAATTGGGTTGTACACACACACACACGCACACACAGAACATCAGTGTAGACCCGCCAATAAATAATAATTGTAGATAACTTAGCATTTAGCTAACATTTTGCTAATGTTGTTGTTGTTGTTTCCGTATTGGCTAGCGCGTGATAAACTCCTCCCTCGCCGTTCGTTCGATTCGCTTGGATTTGATTCTTTCTTTCTTTCTCTTTATACTTTTGGGTATTTTGCAGGGGACTATTGATCCTGATCCGTGTACTGCATTTTCAGAGTTGTAAATCAGTGTTGGTTACGCAGCACAATTATGGAATGTCGTCGTCGTCGTTGCCGTCTCACGATTCTAATTTGAATACATTCCGCTTTTATTTAATTTAACTTTTTTTTAATTTTTTTTTTTATTTTACTGCTGAGCACCGTGTGTTGTTGCTATCGCTATCCGTTCAATTACAACACACACACATATATACACAAATACAGCATACATATACACACACACACGATGTTGTAGATCTTTTTGTTATTGCTATCGCTATTAGCGATTTTCTCATATGTATTTATACTATTTTGCCCATTAGGGGTTTTCGCTGCTATATTATAACACTTTCGTACAAACGGTTATTGTACTATTTGACCCTAAGCATATACGTTCACAATAACTATCACTTGGTTTCCACTTTGTATATTCTATTTGTTTTTCTGTATATACATAAATAATTTTTTTTATTTTTATTTTTATATTTTGGTGCACACGAAAATCTGCTGAGCAGAGAAAAAAGCAATGAAGATATCGACCGTGGCCAAAATTTTGTCGATTAATTGTCAGAGCTGCCGCCACCTCCACCAAATACGATACATTGATGCATTTTTCTAACAGATGGCAACTCTAAACTATAATTTTGATATTTGGCTTAAATGTTAATGTTTTTTAGCGTTTTTTGTTGGCTTGAAGTAGTTATCAAACGCAACAAATTATTCATACGTATTCTGTACGAATATGATGACTTCTTATCACTTTTATTTTCTCGATTACACGTGAATAAAACGTAATATCGTTACCTATTGTCCAACGGATAACGCACTTAATGAAGTACACCCGAACATGCCAAACATGATATCAGTTATTTAGAGTACATTAACTAAAAGTTAAGATTTGCTTTAGCATTGTATATTGCTAGAGTTTATAGTGTATAAGCATATAATAATATACGGGCACACATATGTAAATAAATAAACACACGCTAGTCAACGAGTTAGGTGTTGCTGTTGCTTTCGTGCAATATCCAACGATTAAATCACTAAAGAATAGCTTGCACTAAAGAAAACACTGTACTTACCGTCTAATAGTGATGTGTTATATGTGCTGCTAACTTTTGGATCACTTTCCTATAAACTTTTGTCAAAATGCTCTTAACACACACTCTTTTGAATGGCGGCTAGAAAAGAAAATCAGCGATGAGTGTTGTGATATAGGGTTGCTCACGGTACACACATCGACCTATCGAAAATTTTGAACTTTGACAGCATGGATGTACTGATATTAAAAAATCTTCATTCAAAAAGTAAATTTCTTAAATTTGGAGTGCTTAATATAAATGTATTGCATTTCTGACAGTAAACTAGTTATACAGAAAGGCAAGTAGTTCCTATGAGTACAGTGTCACTGAGTTTTCAAATGCTGAATGGCAAATATCAATTCTAAAACCAGATACCTGATTTCGTTACCTTCGATTAATTGAGTATTTCCATTTGGACTCAACTCCAATTAGCATACAGCTATCGCTGTTATCGAAAATGTTGAAGTGTAGCAGTACGACCATGAGGAGCTGCTCTGCAAAGTGGGGAGCAGCTCTGTTTAGTGAAAATAAAAAACAAATGCGGCGCCTGTTACAAAATACCAATGGACAAATATTACTTGTCTCTCAAATTGTGACCAGACATGTGGGTAGCAGCAATGCATCTGGCGACGCCGTGCACCGGACAAAAAAGGAGCTTCGAAAACCACACCAGCAAGCAACTAATACTATCAGCAGAGAAGACAAATTTGGTGCTAAATATTGCATGGGCCTTGTGGAGTAAGTTCATCTACATCTGTGATACAGTTTTTATTGCGTTTTCCTTTATGCTGCACAGAAAATATGATTATGAGAACTATTTGAGCACCTTGCTGCTACCAAAGGAGTTGCGCCCCTCGGCGTTTGCATTGCGTGCTTTCAATGTCGAGGTCTCCAGGTCCGTGGGCGCTCAGGTAGGTGATGCGGTGATAATAGAATTATTAAATGTGCTATTAATATGATAAGCTACTTTCAGGTCACCGAGCCACAAATAGCCAAAATGCGCTTAAAGTTTTGGTATGACTCTATAGACAAGTGCTTCGAGACAGATGCCAACAAATCTTATGTCAAGGATCAGCCGGTGCTGCGTGAACTAAAACGCACCGTAGGCAGCTCCAAGCTAAATAAGTTATATCTACGGCGGATGGTTACCGCACGCGAACGACCGCCCAATCAGGCGTTTGAGACGATGCGCGATCTAGAGGATTATGCGGACCAGACATGCGCCTCACTGCTGCATCTGCTGGTGCAACTGAGCGGTGTTCAGGACATGCAGGTGGACCATGCCGCCTCTCACCTGGGCAAGGCTCAGGGCATAACCATGCTGTTGCGTGCCATACCCCATGCTGGGCGACAACAAGCCGTGTCCGTGCCGCTCGAAGTGCTTGTCCGGCATGGCGTCAGTCAAGAACGCATCTTGCGGAGCGATCGAGAGGACAAGGGCGTCGAGGAGTGTATCTTCGAGGTGGCCAGTTTGGCCAACACACATTTGAAATTAACACGCCAGTTGCTCCCTCAAATGCCACGACTTGTGCGAAAAATCTTCCTGCCCGCCGTTGCAACTGATGGCTACTTAGAGCGTCTGCGTCGTGCCCACTTTCTGTGAGTGTAAAGGAGAATCAATTTTCGGTTTTTGTATGTTAATCATTTCCAACTTTGATTTATTTTAAGGCTAACGCACCCTAGCTGCGTAAAACGGGACTCCTTGTTGCCGGCTCGCCTCTTCTGGAAGACGATATTTAACAAATATTAAGCTAATTAGTTTACAACATGTTGAAATTTGTTTATTATTAAAGGCAGTTATATAAAATTCAATTGTTTGAAAATGTTGCCAAACGATTAATAGCAAAGTGGATAACCAACACTAGCGCTCAAGATATGTACATACATACATACATATATCGATAAATTTATATACATAGATTTCGATGTATAGTTGCTGGCTGTTTCTTGAAAGTAGCGCGTTGTGATTTTTTTTTTAGTTTTTAGTTCAAGTGAGGAGTATCAAAATAAAGCATATGAAATGTCTAAATTTTAAAATTAATGTTCTCCATTACTGTACCCATTGTGTGTTATAGCAAATTTTGCCAACGGAGCCGTGCGCCAGGCGCACTTCGAATTTTAAGCACCGTTTAGATTAAGTGAATCAAGCTAATTAAATGCATATATAAAAATATAGTTTGTATTAATATAAATATTTTATGGTAAGTGCCAAATCATACTATTTACATTATGAAGTTTAGTGTGTTTGTTTAGCTGTCTGACTTTTATTGCATGTACGCCATTTTTTCCAGTTCATGCTAAATACATTATACAAAAATTACCGCTCTCTATTGCGGTGCTTCACAAAATTAACGGAATTTTATTGTACCCTCTCACTCTCTCACACATTACAAGCTTAGCTTCAAGCTGATGGTGGGTAACAAGCAAAGCAACGAAGGATAGACAAGTGCATACAAAAATAAATACGGTTACTTTTATACAGTGGTGTCCAATTCCAATAAGAACAGAGTAACCGATAAAAAGAGAAAATCTAACTAGAGTAAAATGAACTGAATAAATAAATAAACGACGTAAAGTACATGAAATTAAATCCAAAGTCGTGATAATACATTAAATACAACATACAAATAAAAGGAATATAATCAAAAAAAAAAAAAAAAAAAAACTAAAAAAGTTATTAAAAAATATAAAAATTAAAATTAAAAAAAAAAAAAATTAAAAATTCTTAAAAATTACAAAGTTTTAAAAAAAAGTTAAATTAAATTAGTTTTACTTTAATAGTAAGCGACATTTGCCTTGAGTCATTTTTTATACACAAAACTCCAAGTGCAGTCGACAAAAATTATCCTTAGGATTCTTTCTATGTATGCGAGCCGAGCAGAAATGAAAATCTTTGCCACAAATGTTGTTGTTGCCAGCGCAGCGGAAGCGACTGCTGCGACAAGTGCAACACCCACAACACCGGTGCAACAACACCAACAGCAGCAGCAACAACAGCAGCGTGAATATCGCTGTGGCGCTCAAGTCAAGTACAACAAATACAACAACAAGGCCAACAATATGCTGCGGCAGACCAAGTACAACAGCAGCAGCGGCAATAACAACAACAATAACGGCAGCAGCAATGCGGACAATAAACATGCCAAGCGCCAGCAACAGCAGCAGTCACAACAGCAACAGCAACAGCAGCAGCAACAGCACTACAACAACAACAACAACAACAACAACAACATGCACAATTTTTCACGCAAGAAATACTTCGGCAATAACAATTACAGCTGCAACCAACAGCAGCAGCAACAACAGCAACAACATGCAACAGCAGCAGCAAAGCTCTCAAACAATAACAACAACAATGTAATGAAAAATCAAAACCTAATTGATGAGAACATCTGCAAAAACAGCAACGACAGCGACAACAACAATAACAGCAACAATAGCAACAACAACAATAACAATGCTGTCACAAAGTTGCAACCAAAATCAAACAACGGCAACGTCAAGAAACGCAACTCCCTCTCATCCTCAGCTGAATCGAGCATGTCATCTGCATTTTATCACAACTGTTCCGAGTCCTCAAACTCATCAACAACGAACAGTAACAGCAACAGCAACCCAAATGATGATGAGCAGCCGCAAGCAACATTATCAACACCAACTGAAACAGCAACAACAAAAGCTGCAAAGCAACAACCAGGAGCAACAGCAGCAGCAGCAGCAGCAACAGCAACAGCTAACGCATTGCCCCAACAATCGGACAACAGCAACAAGGCGACGCAAAGATCTAAGCAACAACCGCTGTGCTTCTGGAAGACGAGCTATCCACAGCAACCGACGCTGCAGCAGAAGGAAGTGAGCTAACTGTTAAGATAAGCCCTAGACTAATTATTGATATATAGTATATGTATATAGAAAATTATAGGAAAAAGCACAAAATAGTCAATTAAACAGAATTTGTATTAACTACCTGAACACATTGAAAAGCGCAACATGGGGTGTAATGGTTATGTGGAAAGAGTTAAAAGGAGGCGTGGCAGACCTCTTATAGTCCTGCTTAGGGCAACAAGTTGAGCCGGTATATAGCTAGATCTAGATAGTCTATACGTCCGCTAGCGACTTGAAATTATAAACTTATATTTGAATACTAGTATCGATAACTCATCTCATTGCATTGTCAACGATAATAATCGATAATTAAATTTAGTTTGAATGCTTCGTTGGAATACCCTAACAGCTAGGAATTTCAAATTTGTGATGGATAAACAGTGCTCAGACGCCTGTCCCCCATTCTCACAGATTATGGAAGAACGAATTTATAGATATCATTATAAGGTTCTAGATTTGCGTAGAAGTACTCCAAGTACTCCTTGCCAAATACGCCCGATTAGAGTACGCTTCTTTGTTAATAGTTCTAGCTATTGTTTGCTTTAATCCATTAATTTGTTATATATATATTCAATGCTTGTAGTGCTTCAAGAATGATATAAGATAAGATATTTATATATAAATTCATATAATATATTAAATTTACGGTAAACTTAAATTCCAACTTCTATTTATAGACATTTTTTGAATTTGCAAACATGACTTAATAGGAAAAGCATTTGATTTCTTTTAATATTTTCACGTGGTATATCTATCTTTGCTTATAAATCGGACAGAACTGCAAGCATATTGAAATCTTTGGTATACCAAAGATATTTTGAAACAGATTTGTATTCTTTTACTATTAACAATCACTTAAGTATTTCACCCGCTTGCTACAGCAGCAGTTGGAGGCGGCGCTGGCCACACAAAAGGAAACGGAACTGGCAATTGCAGCAGCAGCAGCTGCTGCTGCGACAACACCAGCAACAGAAGGCGGAGGAGCGACAGCAGCAGCAACTGATCAACAGCCGCATTATTATCCATATTATTGTTCGCAGCCCAAGCAGCTGACAATAGCATCATTTCTGCAAAAGGAGCTGCTGCCCGATGCAGACAACACCAACAGCAACAGCCAACAGCAGCAGCAACAGCATCATCAACAGCAACATCATCAGCAGCAGCAGCAACACAAGCAACAGCAGCAGTCGGGTGCTTATCAGCAGCGTTATCGCAATGGCAGCTACAGCTACAACAACAACAATAATAATAATAACAACAACAACAACAACAACAACTACCATCATCAGCAGCAACAGTCGCAGCAGCAACAACAGCAACACCCGCATCATGCACAGCAGCAACATCAGAATCACATGCACAACACACATTTTCGGCGCAACAACAAGAAGCTGCACTACGGCAACAACAACAGCTGCACGCCAACAACATCTGCTCAGAAATCGATTGAGATTGTGAACGCCAGCAACTACAATGGGTCACATCATCGTCGCATGCCGAATGTTGCTGTTGCTGGCAATGGCACTCATGTTGCCGGCAAGAATGGCTACTATCAGCTGCATCATCATCATCAGCAGCAGCAGCAGCAGCAACATCATCATCACCATCATTATCATCATTCGCTAATGCCGGGCAGTAATACGCCCACAAGCGCCGAGCATCAGAATTTCTATAATCTGACCTATGTGAATGTTGATTTGCCGGCAGCAACAATGCCTGCAACAGCAACAGCAGCAGTAACAACAACGGCAACAGCTGCTGCTGCTGCTGGCAGCAATATGCTGTTAAAGCAAACAGCAAGCGAAACTCCGGCAGCTGTAACAGCAGCAACTGGGCCTGCAGCAGCAACTGTTGCAGCTGGCAGCAATCATAACATGTTTCTGCAGCCGCCGCCAACACTGCAATTGGGTATGCTTGGCCCGGGCATATTATCGCCGGCGGCCTTAACGCCGGATGCTATTGCGACGACGCCAACCAATATGATTAGCTGTGCGCAATTGGACGAGGCCATCACAGCGGCCGCTGCCAGCAGCACGGGCAACAGCAACTGCAACGTCAACAGCAACAACAACAGCAGCAGCAGCAACAGCGGCAGCAACAACAAGAACATGGATCTATCCAGCGTATTAAATGTGCCCAGTCCCATCTATGCAGCGCTGCCTTTCATGCTGCATCAACAACACCAACACCAACAGCAGCAGCAGCAACAGCAACAGTTGTTCCCGAACAAAACACAACAACAGCAGCAACAGCAACAGCAGCAACAGCAGCAGCCACAGCACCATCAGCAGCAACAACAGCTTTTCTTTAGCTTTGGCGATGGCTATAACGGTGCCGCCTGGTCCCATGCTAATTCGCCCTGCTATCCTCCGGCTGTGTATGGTCCAAGTCCGAGCAGCATCTCGAGTGGCTCGGCCAATAATCGTGCTCCGTCGCATCGTGCCATCTCGCCCGCCTCGTCCACGTGCTCGCTGGCCAGCGAGTCTCAATGGAGCAGCAGTCGCAGTCGGTAATTGATACTAGAAGATAACTCTACCCTATTAAGTGAGATATATAGATAAATAGGGATAAATAGAGAAAAAGGGCATATGCAAACATATATCCTTGCATTTTGAGCTAATCCTGTTAAATATTATAAGAGGGATATACAGTGAACTCCGGTTATAACGACTCTCAAGGCACCGTCATTATACCCGGAAGACGCTATAACCGTATAAGTTTTTCTGGGAACCAGAATTTTCGTCTCAATAACCGTACGGACTTTGTCGTTATCGCCGGATTCTACTGTATAAGCCTCTGTTTCTATGTCTAGAGAAATTTTCATACAAATGTCGCGCAGTTTAATTCGATTTTTCATTGCCTTAAAGTCTGTGATGAAGGATTTGTAAGCTCAAATCAGAGAGGATATATTTTATGAAGTTTCCTAT